TGCAGATTTTTTTGGGGTTCGTCAACTACGTGCGCCGGTTCGTCCCCGACATGGCGAAGCTGACTGCCTCGTTGTCTGACCTGCTGAGGAAGGGGGTTGAGTACACGTGGGGGGAGAAAGAGCAAGCTGCCTTCTCGGCCCTCAAAAACATTTTGTGCTCACCGCCCGTGCTTCACATCGCAAATCCACACCGTCTGTTCGAGCTCGTCACTGACGCAAGTGACATCGCTGTGGGAGCAGTACTGTTTGTCAGTAGATCTGCACTGTGGATGCCCGATTGATCCTGGAGAGGGTTACAGGCGCGTTCGCCTGGGGGGTTATGGGCGCACTGACCCGCTACTGAAACAAGCCCTTTTATCCCAATGGTCTAGTAGTTGGGATTCTGACATGGTATCAGAGCGGTCTCGGGTTTGATTCCCGGTGTATGCACATGTAGGCCGTTGCCGCTGTGCTTAGTCCTGGGCCTCCCAGTGTGGGGGGGTGTCAGTAGATCTGCACTGTGGATGCCCGATTGATCCTGGAGAGGGTTACAGGCGCGTTCGCCTGGGGGGTTATGGGCACACTGACCCGCTACTGAAACAAGCCCTTTTATCCCAATGGTCTAGTGGTTGGGATTCTGACACTGTTGCAGGATTTCGGGAACGGCCTCCAGCCAATCGCGTACGAGTACCGCAAGCTGCACCCGCCCGAACGCAATTACCCGATACACGACCGCGAAATGTTGGCAATCGTGCACGCGTTCAAGGTTTGGCGGAGTTACCTGACTGGCGCTGACGTGACAGTACGGACAGACCACCGATCACTACAGTACTTACGCGCCCAACCGAATCTCAATCCAGGACAGATTCGCTGGTTGGACTACCTCGAGTCCAACTTCCACTACACGGTTACGTACAAGAAAGGCGCATCCAACATCGCCGACGCACTCACCCGCCCTACCGCCCAACTCCACGCCATCCTACTCGCCCAGACCAACCCACTTTTAACAGGCCTATTTACCCACGGATACCGCACTGACCCATTCTTCACGACCGGAAATTCACAGCAACTGGCAGAAGCTAAAGGAGTTTATTACTTCAAAACAGGCACCAACCGCATCTGGGTACCCGCGTTCTCACTACTGAGGGAGCTACTACTGCAGGAGGCACACGACGGAATTACCTCGGGACATTTTGGGGTAGAAAAAACGCGACAGCAACTGCAGTGGTATTACTACTGGCCAGAGGTGTTGACCAACGTACAGCAGCACGTAGGCTCGTGCCCCACGTGTCAGGTGATGAAGAGCTCAAGAAAGCGGAAGGCGGGTCAATTGCAGCCGATACCACCGCCCGAGCGCGCCTGGCAGCAGGTTACCATGGACTTCGTCACAGGGTTACCTTCGAACCCTGGGGGTAACGACGCGGTGATGGTCGTCGTTGACAGGTTGACGAAGATGGCACACTTTGCTGCGTGCAAAAAGTCGATCTCAGCCGAGGAAACCGCTCGTCTGTTCATCGCAGCCGTTGTTCGCCTGCACGGGATACCAGCAGCGATTATCAGCGACAGGGACGAGAAGTTCACCAGCAACTTCTGGAAAAACCTCTGGGAGCAGTTCGGAACCAGGCTGCAGTTCAGTTCGTCGTACCACCCCGAGACCGACGGTCAAACGGAGCGGACGAATCAGACGATGGAGCAGTTGATTCGTGCCACGTGCGATGACCCCACGACTTGGGAGCAGCAGCTGCCGCTGATCGAGTTCGCGTACAATAATGCCACGTCAGCGACGACGCAGCAGTCCCCCTTCTACCTGAACTACGGGCAAAATCCTACAGTGCCCATGACGCCGAGTCCGGACAACCCAACACCACGAGCACAGCAATTCGTCGAAATTCTGCACGCTGCCCGCACCAGAGCCGCAGAAGCAATTAAAAAAGCAAACGCCATCGCTAAGCGCAACGCTGACCGCCACCGCAGTCACATACCAGACAGGGGATTACGTACTGCTCGACACGCAAAATCTGCGACTGCCCGACGTACCAAAACTTCGACCGCGCTACTGTGACCCATTCCAAATCAGCCACATGATCACGCCAGTAACCGCGCACCTACTGTTACCGACCGACTAGTACATCAGCCCTTCGTTCCATGTCAGCTTGCTTCGCCCCTACATCCCAACCACAAGCCAACTGCCTCGTCGCCACCGCCCGCCATCCATAACTCGCCCTGCATCGGAGCCGATCATCGAGCCCGAAAAAATCCTGAGCCATCGGATTCGACACCCCACGGGACTCAAGAGGATTGAATTCCTCGTCCGCTGGAAGGATCGCACGCCAACTGAGGACAGATGGGTGCCCCTGGCCAACATCGAAAACCACCCTGCCCTGCAAGTGTACCTGAGGAGCCGGGGATGTCAACTTATATTTGTAACTGCCTGTAGCTGTAGTTAGTGTAGTTATTTAAACTTTGTGTGGTGGTGCACCTTATGTGTTTCCTTTGCTATATGTACTTCGAGCCCTATAGTGAAGCACACATTCTCTCAACTTTTCTCAACTCACTCGATACTCTCCCCTAGGGCAAAACCCGCTCGACACCTAAGTACGGGCCTAGGCTACTAAGCCTAGGCCCTTCCTTTCAACTTAGCCTCTTATTCTAACATGTTATCGGAGCATTTTTACGACCTGGCCTGTGTGCCCGCCTTACGCTTCCGCGATGAGTTTTCGGTCGCGCGCCTAGGGCGCGTGACGATTTTTAATTAGTCCCGCCCACGGGTGTGTGGCTCCTTCTCTGCCCGTCGCGCGCCCCGTGGCACGCGACGGTGCCCTTCATCTGCCCATCGTGCGCCCCGTGGCACACGATGGTGCCCTGCTCGTCGTGCGCCCCTAGGCGCACGATCGGGCCCGTTTTCTTCTCCTACCCGTCGTGCGCCCCGTGGCACTGGCCCGCGACGGGCCTTTCCGCCCCTGCACTCCCTGGAGCCGCCCCTGACCCATCTGCACCGACACCTTTTCGCCGCTCTGCGGCTTTCTTCCTTCCCACCCCCCTCCTCCTTTGTCTCCCTGCATCCGTGGGGAGGAGGGTATGGGGGTGGAGGGTGTTGGAGTGTGGCGTCACCTCTCTCCCTTCCCCTCCTCCTTCTTTCAGTCCCACCGCTGCAGCTGCCGCTGGGGGGGGAGGGTGTGAGGATGTGGGGGAGCAGGGGGAGTGGTACCGGGGTGGCGGGTGTGAGGCAACATGCAGCCATCCCTCCACCTCTCCTCTCTTCCCCCTTTCTCTGCTGCTCCTGCAGCAGTGTGGGGGAGGGGAAGGAGGAGGGTGAGGAGATGGAGGGGGTGACCACTTAGTGTCAGCCCGCCTGCATTACCTGCTGTTGCTTGCCTTTTATTTTGCATGTGTACACCTGCAGGTTGCATTCTGCACATACTCATGCTGCAGGCAGTTATGGGGGAGTGTCAACTTATATTTGTAACTGCCTGTAGCTGTAGTTAGTGTAGTTATTTAAACTTTGTGTGGTGGTGCACCTTATGTGTTTCCTTTGCTATATGTACTTCGAGCCCTATAGTGAAGCACACATTCTCTCAACTTTTCTCAACTCACTCGATACTCTCCCCTAGGGCAAAACCCGCTCGACACCTAAGTACGGGCCTAGGCTACTAAGCCTAGGCCCTTCCTTTCAACTTAGCCTCTTATTCTAACAGGGGATTCCGCGATATGCACGCACTCGCATAGCGGAGGGGGCTTCTTGAGGGGGGGGGGGGGGGGGGGGGGGGGTAGTGTAAGGAATTTTCTCGGCACTCCTTACGGAGCCTGACTACATCGCGTAAAGCAACAGCCGTTGTTCGCCCGTTACTGCTAACGGGGCTTCGCCGACTTCGCGCACACTGTTTTCACCAAACCTCGCACTGCTGGAATGGCCGTGTCGGCCTACGCTTCGGGACTAGCCCAAGCCTCGCTCCAGCGCAGCACTAGCTAGCTCGCACGCACCGCGTTACCGTTTGCATGTTTCGCGTATAAATGTTCGCTCATGCCTTTGCTCACATTTTGTACTCGTTTGACACCTTAGTGCAATTCTCGCTACTTCGATTCATTGCACCCGTAACACCTTGTCAGCAAACCGGCGGTTCGGGCCGTGAGGGCGGCGGCTTTGACGAAATGTCAGGGTCCCGCGCAATTCGGTTGGACCAACGGCTAGCAGAAGTACCTGACCTGACCCGAACCGCCGGTGTTTCCTCCCCTCACACCACCACCTTGGCTGGGTTGCACAGGATGGTTGACAGGAGGGACTCCATGAAGCAAGGCGGAATCATGTGAGCCACATCCAGGATTCAGCAGAAACGAGTGCGCAGGTTTACCACAAAGGAGTTTGCGAGTCTTTCCACAATTTGAATAACTATTTTTTCCCTGGTTAGTTTTCACTGACTGTTCGTCTTCAGACCCTTGCAGACTCATAGGAGCAGGAGTTGGTGGGCTCCCACGGAGCCAGAGCTGCTATAGTCGTGACTTGTTATTTGTTCTTATTCGAGCAGTCAATTGGAGAGGTAGCGCAGGAAGCCGGTTAAAGCTCGGTTGAAGCGTAACGAGCGTGACGTCTTTAGCCTACACTTGAACGTCGTTTTAAGGGAGTAGTTAGCTGGCTTCCTAAAGTAATTCGCAGCTAAACGTCTATTTGGTAGCAGTATCAAACATCTCTGCTGGACTTTCACCGCCAGTTGATTTCAGAGATAGACATCCGTGTCTATTGGAGTCAAAGCACGCTATTCTCTGAGAAGCATCGAAACCGTGGGCTGGCTGAAAGATGGGGCTACTGTTGTCGAAGATCAGTCCTTTAGAGACTATCGAACATGTAAGTGGGAAACAATTTTAATAATCGCTTGCTGTTTTGCGCTACCTTTTGGCAAACGAATTTCAGTAAACATTCAATTTCAGCAGAAAATCGCATTTGTTGAGTGTCGTAACTTTATCAGCATCCACTCGTTCGCTCTTACCGTTATCTCGCCCTTTTCCGTGTGACATTCTCGGTTCAGGCGAAGAAGCATCGAGCAGAGCCAGTGGTGTTGTCGGTATTGAGAGAGAACCTCGGGTAAGCTGCCCAACCGTTTCTAGTTCTTTCAACCACTCCTTTCCTGCACAGTCCTACTGGTCAGATTTCAATTATTGTGACTGACACTAAAATTTATAACCCCTCGTCTCGCTGCTCCCCGTTTTTCCTGTTTTACGCCCTCAGCAATGCGCACAACTCGGTCACTCTCTTCCCAGCGCGCGGCGCCATGAGCCACGACCGCCTTGTGTACTCGGGAGACCTGTCAGCCGAAGACTTCAGAGCTGTTAAACAGGTGAGGGGAAAAACTTCAAAGCCGGTAATCGTGTGAGACAAGGAACTTCACGCTTATTTGGTGAGAGCCACGTACAGGAAGACTTCAGAGGCGTCAAGTGGTTGAGGAATAGGCAAACGGAAAAACATTAGGGCCGGAAGGGCGAGAGGGACGACCCCGCGGCGTAAGACACACGAAGAGCGAGATTTAAGAGCCATCGGACAGGTGAGGAAGCGTCGTACAGAGACTTCAGAGCCTTGGTAAAGAAAAATCAAGAAGAAAGCAGGTCGGGGGAAGGCGAGAGGGATGATTAAATGGCTGCTGGGTTGGGTTTGGGGAGTGTGAAGGTGATAAGTGGTTGGTGCCACATGGACGGATGTCAGAGCTGACTTTCATTCTCATTGTTGCTTCACACCATCAAAAGCAATCCTGTGCTCGGTTCTACAAGCCCTGTTCCATTTCCTATTGTTAAAAGTGAGTTCGCTATGGCTGCAGATTCGCCCCCTATTGCGCCTGGAGTATCTCCGAGGTCAAAATGCGGCGAACATCAGGGTGCGTGTTTCCTGTGGGTGTGGATGTGTAGTCTTGTCCTTTTTTTCCGTGCTCTTCTATGACCGATTCCCAAGGCGGCTGATGGAATGATGGTCTCTGGTGATCCTCCTCTGATCGCAACAAGAGATCAACTGTGTTATTAGCTTGCTTCTTGGCGGCCCCACCTCAAAAGCAGCTTACTGTTCATTGTTGCCTCACTGTGCTCTTGTCGTTCTAATGCTCTTGTTGTCTGGGAATGCAGCACGGTTTGACGGGAGAGGTTCTTATGATGGTGGTGACAGAGGCGAGTGACGGCGAGTGGAACCAAAGGCCAGGATTGAGTTTCAGGTGTGGGCCGGAGACCGAGGCTCGAGTGTACAGCAATGGGCTGCCAGTAGGAATCAACATCTCCAGCAACTACCTCGCGATCTCCCCACCCCCAGTCCAGGTAGGCTTGCCATCAAAACACTCACAGTGTACACCTTCAGGCAGCCATGGTTTTCCTGGAACGTTGCATGTAAAGGATGCAAGATGTATGCTCTCGCCTTGTGTCTGGCCTTTTGACACATTCGTCTTTGTGTGTGTGGTTTTAATTTCTCCCATGCAGCAAGATGGGTCTAATTTTGACTTTGGTCCATCCATGGTCGAATTGGTGAAGACATGGGAAAATCGAGCTCTGGTGCTGTCGCACAGGGAGCCTGGTGGCTATCCTGGGGCTAAAGTAGCTGCTTTCACTAAAGTGGGGGGTCACCGGGTATCGGTCTTCCGTTTGCTGGATAAGGGGGCCTTGGATCCAATCGTCGCCATTGCCCTTTCTTGGTTCAATGATGTCGAGACAACTTTGTGAGGACACAGCCACGTCGGCGAATGAGGGACGAAGGTTGCGATTAGACGGGGATAATTATGCTGCTAGCTAGTTCTTAGAAAGTACAGTTTGAGTTAGGTCCTTTGCCCAAGGGCCACGTAAAATGTTTTGTCTTCCTCTTTTGTTTCTTTTGGATGGTATCCACCCCTATCCCAGTAGTGAATAAAAATAATTTGTGGGCCTTCCAAGACGAGTACCATACCATCCCAGATTTATGTCTCAGAGCTGTTATTGTTTTTGTTCCAAAGTAGAGTTGTCACATTCAGTGTTCGTGCCTACGTTTGACAGTGCTAAGCATACGATAAGAGCATTGACGTGCGTCCTCAGTCTTGAAAGTGCTGCAAACGAATGATGCAGAAACGCTTTTATTTTTCCGAGCCAGAAAGCAGCTTCGCAACAAGAGATGCTCGTTGCTGCTGGTAACACTTATCAGGTTCGACATGTTTCAGCGAATAATAATGGAGGCAGGAGGCCTCCATCCCCTGACCTTCCCCGCTTGCTTTGCTTGCTTCCTTGGTTCCTGGTGTCCAGTCCAGGGTTCCCCTGGTTTCTCATGGTTTCCTGGTTCCGACGCTTGCCCCTGGCCTTGGTTTGAGGTTGACTGGATAGAGTTCTGCTGGTCAGGCTTTTGATTCTACGCGCAAGTACTGTAATTCCAGGCTACGAATATTCGCGCTGTGGGGCCTCCCACAGCTTAGTCCAGATCAAAGCCATTAGGGTTTCTTAAACGGAGTTGTCTCCTTAAGAGGCAGCCATGGGGTCCGAGCCCGTGATGGACCTGTTTAGGTCCGAGGAAATGCAGCTGATGCAGCTCATTATTCCCGCGGAAGCGGCGCATGACACTATTTCTTATCTCGGAGAGCTTGGCCTCGTCCAGTTTAAAGACGTAGGGTCCTAGCTGAGCGTTTTCCCCGCCGTTTACGGGTTGCGCTTTGTAATCGATTTTGTTCTCAGTAGGAGATAGCTCATATCGACATTTCCGCCTCACTTCTCTCTCCGTGCTTCACGTCTCTCGCAGATGAACCCGGACAAGAGCCCGTTTCAGCGGACATATGCGAACCAAGTGCGTTTCTTCTTTCCTCCTCTTGTCACAAACGACTTTCACCTGTCTATTATTTCATGCCTTAGATATTGGAAATGGCGTTACCATCGCTGATCTGTTTTTTCTGTCTTCGTTGTGATCGCTGCATCAGGTCAAGCGATGTGGCGAGATGTCTCGCAAGCTGCGGTATCTGAAAGAACAGTCGCTGAAGGCCGGAATTCTCCCTACCCAACCTCGGACGCTCGACAAGGATCTCGACCTGGATGATCTCGAGGTCCGTCGTCTTAGACGGAAAATGTAGACGGAGACGAACCGACCTTCCATATTGTCGGAGCAGTTTATTTATCCAACATTACGACAGACCTCTGTATATTTCTTTGATGGATTTTTGTATTTGAGAGTCGATGCCAATGTCGTGGATGCTCGCATTCTTGCTTATCGAGTGTTTTCCTTCTCGCTTGCCTATTCGCTTGCTTGCTTGCTTTCTTGCGCGTGTTGCGGTGCAGCTGAAGTTGAACGATCTGGAGGCGGAGCTGCTGGAGATCAACGGCAACGCGGAGAAGCTGCTCAAGACGCGCAACGAGCTCACGGAGCTCAAGCTCGTTCTGGAAAAGGTGCGAGCTATGCCGATAAGGTGACGACAAAAGGGATCGATAAGGTGCTGATGAGGGGTTGATAAGGGGTTTGATAAAGGTTGACAAGTTGCTGGTGGGGTGGGAGGGGATCGGGGTCGAGGGGAATGGGATGGGATGGATTAACACTGTTGAAGCGCTTCTTAAATCGCGCGTTCGGTTCGAAGTCATGGATCTCTGAATGTCGCGTGGTCGTCCTGGAATAGTCGTAGGTCGATGTCGTTCACGATAATGCGCGACAGTGTTGATCCATTGTATGGTGTACCGCTGTGGACAATGTGGGCTGATCCATTCCCGTCCTTCATGCATCCCGGACTTTTTCCTTCCTCGGCTGAACTTCAGTCCTCTCGTCCCTTGGTATCCCCACTCACTGCTCCTGCTCTCATCCGTTGATGGTCGTTCTGTAATAACTTACTCTCATCCAACGCCTAGATCCACGCCCTAGGTCTTGTCGCTGTTTCCCCGTCACTTCATCTCCAAATATTCCTGTGGTAGTTAACGTTTTTTTTTTTGGCTATCCCTCTCTGTTTCTGATTCTTTGCTTGCGACGCCAGGCGGGGTCGTTTTTCGCGAGCGCCCAGATGGGCGCGGCGGACTATCAGCGGGAGATCGTGCGCGTGTCGTCCATCCGCGAGAGCGCATCCATGGACAGCCCTCTCCTGCTCGAGCAGGTGCGCTTAGCGTAGGATGCACTTTTTCCTCTCCTCGCTTCGCCTTCTTTTTATTGTCTCGCTTTACGCTCAGATGAACACCCTGCCTGCGCGCTTCTCGCCATTTCCCCCTCCTCCGCCCCTGTTTCCAAGGAGATGGCTTCGGATTCGAACAAACGCCTCCTCTTCGGCCAATACTCATTCTGCGCCTCTCCACCTCCTCCCTCCCCCTCTCTCCCTCTCTCCCCTTCTCCCGCTCTCCCCATCTCTCTCCCCCCTTTCTTCTCTCCTCCCCCTTGCTGTCACCAGGAGATGGCGTCGGACTCGAGCAAGCGGCTGGGCTTCGTGACGGGGCTGGTGCCGCTAAGCAAGGTCGTGACGTTCGAGCGGCTGCTGTTCCGCGCCACGCGCGGCAACATGTTTCTCAAGCAGGAGGTCGTGGACGAGCCCGTGCTCGACCCCGCCACCGGCGAGCAGGTGAGCTGGCGGGCCTGGGTGGGAAGGTCGCTGGTGCACAGCTGCGGGTGCACGGTTGCGGATCCATTGAATGTGGACAATCTTTCCGCGCCACGCGCGGCAACATGTTTCTGAAGCAAGAGTCGTGATCGAGCCCGTGCTGGACCCCGCCCCTGGCGAGCAGGTGGATTTGTCTTTCAAACCTCCCAAGCGGCTCTTCGTCATGCAATCTCTTCTGGTGCCCTCCCTCTTCCCAACCTTGTTTCCCCCGCGCGCTGGTGGAGAAGGTGGTGTTCTTTTCGTCTCGGGCGATCGCGCGCGCACCAAGATCGCGACTCCTTTTTACTCATTCCAACCCCCTCACATGATCTACGTTCTCCGCCTCTCCCCTCCTCCCCCCCCCCCCCCCCCCCTCTCCTTCCCGCCGAACCCTAATCGTGTTCCCCCCATGCGCGCAGGTGGAGAAGGTGGTGTTCGTGGTGTTCTTCTCGGGCGACCGCGCGCGCACCAAGATCATGCGGATCTGCGAGGCCTTCGGCGCCAACCGCTACCCCTTCCCCGAGGAGCCCGCGCGCCAGCGCCAGATGCTCGCTGAGGTGCGTGCGCTCGTGCCACGCCACTGCACTCAGGGGACCTTGGTCTCGACTCAGGGGTTGTGATTCACCCTCTTAGGGAAGGCATAGTGCAGAAGATGCTCTCTGCGATGTGCCCTCGTCCATTCCACTTTCCCCCCTTCCCTCAGCCCCCTTTTTTTTCCGTCTTCCTCCGCTTCCACCTTTCCCCACCCGCGCCCCCTTATCCTCAATCTGCACTCTCTCGCTTTATTTTCCCCCACCCTTTTCTCTCGTTCCCACACTTCGCCACTCTCCTTCGCTTTTCGTTCCTTGCACCACTTCACGTTCCGTGTTCCTGTGAGGCGTCCTTCGCGCCCCCTCGCGTGCACCTTCGCGTCAACCCCTTTCTCTCCTAAATCGTTCTCTTCCCTCGTTCGTTCGCTCTCCCCCTCTCCGCCTCCTGCAGGTGCGCGGGCGGCTGGGGGAGCTGCAGACGGCGATAGACGCGGGCAACCGCCACCGCGACAACGTGCTCAACAGCATCAGCGTCTACGTCGACCGCTGGACCTCGCTGGTCCGTGCATGCGCCATTCTGAACCCCTTTGCAGCTCTCTGCACCTTTCCGCTCATCTCTGGGTCTCTCGGGTTCTTTCTGGGTCTCTTCGGGTTTCTGGGCCCCGTTCACCCCTTCTCCCGTCTGTCTTAGTTAGCGCATTTTTCGAAAATCTCCGGTCTTTCCTTTTCGTGGATCTTCACCCATCCACGCGTCTTTACCCCTTCGCCCGTCTTCCCGCTCCTGCGTGTTTGTTATCACGTGCACAACGAGAAGGGGACGTATCATGCTGTCAACTTGCTTCCACCCCCTCATTTCCTCTCGTTTCCCCTCGGTTCCCCACCTTCAACCTCAACCCCACTTGCATTCCCCGTCACCGAAAGTTGGTGCTCCCTTACCCGCTAACAGTTCTGCCCTCCCCGGCTCTCCCCTCGCCCGTCCCTTCCCAATCCCTCTTCTCCCATGCTCCACCACCAGGTGCGCAATGAGAAGGCAGTGTACCATCCGCTCAACCAGCTCCATTCCCTTTCGCCTTTCCGACCCCCGCCCCTCCCCTCCCCTCCCCACTCCCCACTCCGCTTCCCCCATTCCCACCCCCCCACCACCAGGTGCGCAACGAGAAGGCAGTGTACCACGTGCTCAACCAGCTGTCCATTGACGTCACGCGCAAGTGCCTCGTGGCCGAGGCCTGGTGCC